AACCCCTCCGTGCTCATCGTGCTGGAATCAGGTACTTACAACTTCTTAGTTTAGACTTCCTATTCCAGCCTTATGGCAACGTGGCCATTCTTTTTAAAACAGAAGTTCTTTTTGGTGCACACACACAAATTCCTTTCTAGGAACCAAGCCAAGGGCAGATGTGGGAGACACAAGTCTCCACTCCTCCCCTTCCCCCCTACCCCTTCCTCCTCCCTCCACCCCCAACTCAGATCTGGGCACAGCTTACAGGAGTGGCGGCTGCTTCTCCATGTGCTGGTTTCTGCACCTGGTCTTGCTCCAGCAGGTGGGCTCAGATTTTGGTAATATTATTGCTTGTTAGGGCTGCCAGATTGGCTGGATTACAGGGAAAAAATGCTAGTTTGAAGAGATGAGATTGCAGGAAATAGAATGAAAAAAAAAATTGCTGAGAAAACTCACAAAGGTCCCACCGAGATTTGAACTCGGATCGCTGGATTCAAAGTCCAGAGTGCTAACCATTACACCATGGGGCCAGCGGCTATGGTGGCTTGGCAGGTAACCCTTCTGATAAAAATTCATCACTGAGGCACTACACCCCCAAACACTACCCTTAAAAAAAATTTTTTTTTCTCTTTTTTCCGTTAAAATTGTACCACCCCTTGCAGGGTATTTTGAAAATGTGTGAGTGTTTCAGTCATCTTAGTGGATGGAGGTTTTTACCTAGAGGCTGGAAGCCAAATGGCTTTTACTCAGAGGCTGGAAGTCCTAAGACACCCAGGGCAGTCTGAGACAAAGTTATCCTTCCAATTGCACAGCTTTTGTAAAATGACCTTTTATGTTTCATCTGGTTTTCAGGGGCCTTTGTACCCTTCTATCTACGGAATCATCACATATACAGCGGACAGGGCACTGTAGACCCTTGTTAGGATTTCAACTTTTATTCAGCTGTGGGAGGTCCCAGCTTCTGGGTGGGTGTCCTGGGAGACTCACCTCTGGGAATCCTAAGCTACCACTTGAGCAGTCTGAGCCCTCTTTTGCCACCACACTGGTAAGAAGCCCATACCACATGGTAATGCTCCTGCTGGCAGTCCAAGCAGACAGTATTAATTGACAGACATGTGAGTGAAAATGCCTACAGATGGTTCTAGCCCTCAGTAGCCATCCCCAAGAGTCACCTCATATCAGGAAACTCCCACTTCAGGCTCCAGACATCCTGGAGGGCATTCTGACCACAGAGCCCATGAATATAGCACAATGTTTGTTTTATGGCACCAAATTTTGGGCTGGCTTATTATGCAGCAACAGTAACCAAAAAACAACAAAACAAAACAAAATAAAATAACCCTCTAGAAACAAGAATTATTCGTCTCTACTCCCTCAGCATTTCTCAATAATATGACTCCTCAATGTTTTTGTCACCATAAGTAATACATTAATGAACATCGGTGTTCATGCCTTTGTAGGGGCCTATTTAAGATCTTGTTATATAGGGACACCTGGGTGGCTCAGCAGTTGAGGGTCTGCCTTTGGCTCAGGGCATGATCCCCGATCCCGGGATCAAGTTACACATTTGACTCCCAATATGGATCCTGCTTACTTACTCCCTGTCTGTGTCTCTTGTGAATAAATAAATTAATAAAATCTTCAAAAAAAAAATCTTGTTACATATTTCCAAAAATGATTTGTTTACAAAATTGTTAGCCTTGGAGTCTGCAAGAGTGAGATGAAATGTAAAAAGTTAAACATATGAAGTAGATGACTAAGGACATTCTCTAAGCACAATGTATTGTTACTGCATGAAGAAGATATCTGTTGGGGCGTCAATCCCTCAGTGTCCTTCCAGACTCTGTCTTGGGATCGGGGGTATGGCTGGGAACAAGAGTACTCTTCTAGGGCTCACCTCTTTAGGGAGAGTTTTACAAGAATGTCATTCGTTTTCCTAGATCTAGGTCCTGGGGGTGGGCATCTTCTCTGACTTTGCGGGCTTATCTTCAGCGCTTTAGAGAACCTACAGGATTCTGAGGCTCAAATCAAGAATTAAATTGGACTCAGAAAGAGGCAGACGCGAGAAGCTCAAAACCTCTCCCCTCATTGCTCCCTTTGCACAACCACACCAGGCTCTCTTGCAGTTCGCAGAACGTGCTAAGCAGGGAGCTGAGCAGGGTCCTTCCATCAGAGCAGCTTCCCCCAGCTGGTGATTCTCTCAGCACCTGATGCCCCTGATGCCACGGCAGGGCCCTGTCTGCGGTCCTTCCTTCAAATTGCGATTCCCAACTCCTTATCCACCCCCTTGCTTTGTTTTACACAAAATGCTTCATCAAGGAGCTGATATTTTCTAGGTTTTATTAATTTATTTTTTATTGTCTGGCTTATTTCTCCCTTCAACGTGCCACAGAAACTTTCACAGGCTTTTATCATTGTGATAAAAGGAGGAGGCGGAGACATACCCTGTCTCCTCCATGCTAGGCTAGTACCTGCCATATAATAGATGGTCCTATTTTATGATTAAGTAAATTAATTTCCCTTACATAGAGGTAAAATTACTGACTCTCCAGTGAGTTGCCTGACTTATAGCTGGAATTTGCAAGAATGTCTGTATTCTTCTTCCCTGAATGCATCAGGCTTAATTATTTTCGTGTTATACACATGGTCTCAAGTCTATGGATTATTCAGACTTTTGTTACAGTTCTTAGCCTATCAACATGTTCTGAGACAGACTGAAGTTCATAGAGGAAAATGTGAGATTAAAGGAAAGCAATTTAGGGGAAAAAAAAACTTGCACGAAAGAAGATGCAGATTTTTCTATACTAAACATATAGAAAGAAAAACCAAAGAATATCTTTATTACTGACAATAAGCCAATAAGTACATTCTAAAGAAGGACCCCTAGGATGGTAGAAGACAAAGTCCTGTCAAAGGGTACTACATGCCCCAATTCTCTTGTATGAAATAAAATCCTCTTCAACCTCTTTTCTATTTCTTTGTGTAAAATATAAACTCAAGCCTGTACTGTGGGGCCCTGTCTGCGTACCACGATGTCTGTCCAATATGGAGTTCTGTGCCAGTGTTCAAAGCTGCCACCCAGTCGTTTTTTCCCAGTTTAAAAAGCATGGGAGTGTCATTTGATTGGTAAGAGGTCTCCTAGGACTTCCAAAGGCTAGATTTTGTTGCACAGATCTTAGACAGGTAGCCCTGCAGTGTGTATCTCTGATCCACTGGCTTGTTTGATCATATGCTACAAAGGTTAACAATGTTGTATATCAAGTCTTTCAACTGATTAAAAAAAAAAAAAAAAACTTGTTAAGATTCTTCTACTAGTTCCAAAATAGACCAGTGATCTTTTGTTTGTTTCCTTCATGCTCATGAAGCAAAGAAATCCTTTGAATGCTGGATTAATTTAATAAATAATTTGAGAGTCTGCTTCACTTAAATGACCCCACACTGTTATAGTGGTCTCTAGAATTTTGCATATGCTATAATCTGACTTGATAAGCTCTTCACAATTCATATCTAGTTATTTAATCGTGAGATCTTGTCATCATTTTATGAAGGCTGCCCCAAGTACAGAATGCAGCCCCAGGTAAAACATTCTATAAGACTCACTGCTCAGCTCCTTGGGCTGCTCCATTCTGCCTATCCTTGTAGACTTTAACCCCACCAACTATTACTGATTCCTTGAATGTCATACCCACTTTCTTACTTCACCTGCCTAGAATACGGATTTGTACTACCTCCACCCCTACTGGGAATATTATCTATCCTGTGCTCCTGGGGCTTTCCATACTCATCTTTATTGAGTCATTTATTATGTGTGTTTTATCAATATCTGAGCAAGGAGATTCTTAGATTTGTTTATTTGTTCATTCATTTATTGTCAATGCATACATGATTTAAAATTCAAAGAGCATAAAAGTTACTTGAAAAGATCCTCCCTTCATCCATGGCAGTTTATCTAGTATCCTTCAAGAGATATTTTACAATTGCATAAACATACATGTACAAAGGTTTCTTGCACAATATCCTGAACCTTAGTTTTTGCATTTGCCAATAGATCTTGGAAATCATCACATAGCTATACCTGGAGAGGCCTGATAATACACAGTGATTACAAAAATAGATTCTGAAGCTAGATTTTTTTTAAAAAATTATATTTTCACTACTTATTAGCTGTGCAATCTCAGGCAATGTACTCAACCTCTCTGAATCCCCGTTTTATAATCGATAAAACAGGCCTTATAGTAATTTAACTCATTGTTACAAAGATTAAATAACTGGATGTATCTAAGGAATCTGTTAGGACATTACCTGGCAATAACTTTTGGATGTTAGCCAGTAAGCAAGAAATACTAGCGACTGTTATTATGAAAAAGAGCATTCTCATTTGGTTTTACCATCAGATAGACTAATGCACTGTAATTCATTCCTGGTGTTGATCACTCAGATTGCTCCTAGTCTTTTTTTTTTTTTTTTTTTTTTTTTTATGATAGTCACAGAGAGAGAGGCAGAGACACAGGCAGAGGGAGAAGCAGGTTCCATGCACCGGGAGCCCGACGTGGGATTCGATCCCGGGTCTCCAGGATCGCGCCCTGGGCCAAAGGCAGGCGCGAAACCGCTGCGCCACCCAGGGATCCCTCTCCTGGTCTTTTGTACTACAAACTGGCTGCTGCAAATCCCTGTCATATGCCATTTTGCATATATTCAAGAATGGTACAATCCCAGAGGTATGGTTTTTGGGTGAAAAAATATATGCATCATTTTGAGAGACATTGCCAGATTTTCCTCCATGGAGGTTTTACCTATTTTCAGGGCCAGCAGTGGTGACTGGAAATTAAGATCACAGAGTCTTATCAAGAATTTCCATTCCTAACCCAACATACAGGGGCTGCCCTATAGTGAATAGTAAATGCTAAATAAAATGCTAGTTAACTGGATGGAAGAACAGTTTAGTAAATACAGTTGGGTTTGGGGGGTGTTGTGTCCAAGATTGCGAATCCAAGAAACCACCAAGGAGCCGACACCGATGCAAGCACACGAGGGTTTATTAGCAAGTTCGAGCTTTGGTCCAAGTATACCCGTCACAGTGGAGCAGGGACTTGGACCCTGAGGTGGGTTCCAGCTGGATTTTTAGGGGCTGGTCTAGGGGATTTCCAGTAAGGGTGGGGGAGTTTCTCAAGCTCTTAGTTCCTCATTCAGACATGGGGCATGCTCTGCAGTTTTTCTTGGAACTGACTTGGGCTACAGGCTGCAGGGTGTGCTTATCTAGGGGCCAGGGGTGGGGGACATTTTTTGAATTTCTTGGGTCCCACACTCCCCCCTTTTTCAGAGGAACCCAGTGCAGGACCCAATCATGGGTCCTGAAAGTTCAGTGGTTGGTATTGTTGCCTTAGCACCAGGGGTTGAAAGGTGTTAACCCGGTCCCTGACAAAAGCCACTAGTCTATTAATGAGGCAGGGTCCAAAGGTCAGAAGGAGGAGGAGGATGATGAGGGGGCCGGCTAAGGAGGACAAGGTAGTTAGCCAGAAGGAATGATCGAACCAGGATTCGAACCACCCCTGTTGCTGCTCTCGCTCTCGTTTTCACCTGGCCAGTCCTTCCCTGACCGTTGCCATCGATTCTCAGACTATCCCTGAGTGGTCAGTGTAGAAACAGCATTCTTGGTTCAGGGCAGCACAGATTCCCCCTTGCTGTAGAAAAATTAGGTCTAACCCCCTCCTGTTTTGGAGCACCACTTCAGATAAAGATGTTAGGGATTCTTGGAGGTGGGAAATGGAGGTCTCTATGTGCTCTATGTCTACATCAATGGCAGCCCTAAGGCTACTGTAGTGGGAAGCCTGAGTGGCCAGTGAGGCAATACGTGTTCCTGCACCAGCCAAACCAATTCCTAGTAGGGTGGCGATGGTGACAGCAGAGATGGGCTCTCATTTATTTTACCCGTGGGTACCCAGGTCCATCCATTGAAGTACCTGCTCATCTGAATGGTAGATGATTCTAGGGAGTAGTTGAACCAGCACGCAGAAGCCCCCAGTTCTGTTTATAACCTGTCCGTGAGCGCAGGGAGTTAATCCCTTGGAACAGGCCCACCAACTGTCTTGGGGCAGTAGATGATACCCAGTACTGTTTATAGGCTGTGTAACATTGCACAGAATCTGGTAGTGGCGTGGAGGAGTACCTATGCAGAGCTCCTGGCTTGACATGGATCGTAAGGTGAGGCCTTTACTACCAGGCTTTTGGTTCCACCTGCAAGCATTAGGGTCCGTGGTTGTGTTATACTGATCCATTATTGCAATTCCTTCATAGAAGGGGGGGCCGGATGTCATAGCACAGCCAGCAGGATTGGGTTAGATTGGGTTTAGTTGTGTTGAGGAATTTGTAAGTCTGGGACATCAGGGCCCAAAGAGGGTGTTGAGAGGGGTTGAGGGGTAGGGGAGTGGGGTGCATGGGAAGGCGAGCTGGGACTGGGGTGCCTCAACTGGAGGGGTTGTGGGATGAATTCAAAGGGGTGCTGTAGATATTGCCTGAGGAGGCACTAGCAAATTGTTTGGACCTAAGGCAATTGGGTTAGTCAGGGGTCGCTGCTGGAGTCTGATTCCAAATATCGCCCCGGGATCTCTGGGGAAGATTCTGTTTTTTTCATAAAGTCTTATTCCCCAAAAGCATCCAGTATTCCAACTTGTCTCTGCCTGTCCTTTAGGAGTGAAGGTAATGTTTACCAGATTGCAGGTATCCTTGCTGTGTTTAGAGCCTATTTTAGAGCATTGGCCTATAGGGCCAATTCGTTTGACTGATATCAGGTCATCCCTTATTGGGGGATCCCACCAGGTGTGGCCAGTGGAGACGCAGTTCCATGAGGAGCAATAGTAACTGCTGGCGCCCCCACATTGTTGGGCCTTTTTCCTGGTGTGTCCCAGGCAGCCATAAAAATGGTGCTAATGAAAGCCCTGTCCCAGGTCAGTTGAAGGAGCTTAACTAAGTCAAAAATTAAAGAGGGAAACCAAGTCCCGGGTGTATGCAACCCGGTGGTGACATTTAAAATTTCTCCCGTGGCTGTGTTATGAACTATCCATGTCAGATTTTATGGTGAGTGGGGTTAGTTTCAGCCACGAGGGGATACAGCACAAGTAATATTAGCAGGGTAAGTGGGAACGACTCAGTCTTACCTTTAGGGGATTGTCCTTGTCAGGCTGACTCTTCCATTCCGGAACAAAGTCCTTAAGGATGGCATGTGGATCAGCTGGCCGGACGTGGGTGTAGTGGACCCAGGGAGTTATTCCGTAGACCTTGAGAGCGGTGGGAGTGGTCATGATCACAATGTAGGGTCCTTTCCAGCGAGGTTGGAGTGTCTGCTGTTGATCCCGCAAGTACACCCAATTGCCTGGTTGATACTGATGGGGGTCAGGGGGTGGCCCAGTCTCATAGAGGGCCCTCAACTTAGGCCATACCTGCTCATGGGCTCTTTGTAACATTTGGAGGGAGAAAAGAAGTTTTTGGTCATTGAATTCAGCAAGCACTTCGGGTTTCAGGGTAGGAATGATAAGTGGGGGTATACCAAACATGATTTCATAGGGAGTCAATCCCATCTTATATGGTGAGTTCTTCACCCTATATAGGGCAAAGGGGAGGAGAGTCACCCAGACCCCGCCAGTCTCCAAGGCTAATTTAGTTAAGGTCTCTTTTAATGTCCTATTCATCCTTTCTACTTGACCCGAGCTCTGGGGTCTGTAACCACAATGTAATTTCCAATCTGCCCCCAGTATTTGTGCTACTCTCTGTGTTACCTTAGAAATGAACCCTGGTCCATTGTTGGATCCGATCCTGGAAGGAAATCCATACCGTGGCAGAATGTCCTCCAGCAGCTTTTTGGTCACGATATGTGCTGTTTCGTGTTTGGTGAGGAATGCCTCTGTCTACCCTGAAGAGGTATCTATAAAAACTAGCAAGTACTTGTATCCATACCTTCCAGGCCTTACCTCAGTGACATCTACTTCCCAGTATGCTCCTGTGCGGTCTCCCCTGAGTCAGGTTCCAGGGTTAGACCCATGGGCGGTAGCGTTGGTTAGCTGGCATGGGGCTGGCAGCTTGCCACAATCTGCTCTATCTTTGCTCGAGAGTCTTTAATAGTGATCTTTGCATGTCGTATGAGGTCTTCCATCTTCCTTGTTCCCATATGAGTACTCCGATGCATTTTGTATAGGACTCGCCGTCCTAGTTCCTCTGGCAGGATGATGCTGGAGTCTGCGGCCCTCCACCAGCCACGCAAGCACTGGGTCATAGGCAAGCGTTTGATCCAGTGTAAATCAGCATCAGTATCGTTGGGGGTGTCCGGTAGGGTCGGTGCCCCCTGATCGGGTAGCATGGTTGTTAAGATCTGAGTCACTGAAAAAGGGCCAACTCCTTTGCTTTTGAATCGGCTAGCTGGTTTCCCCCGGCTACTGGTGTGTCTGCTCTCTGGTGTCCCGGACAATGGATGATAGCTAGTGCCTTGGCAGCCAGAGGGCCCTCAGGAGTTCAAGAATCTCTGTTTTATTTTTAATAGTCTCTCCCTCTGCTGTCAGAAGCCCTTTCTCTCTGTAAAGGGCTCCGTGGATGTGAGCGGTGGCGAAGGCGTACCTGCTGTCGGTGTAGATGTTTATTCATTTACCTTCTCCCATGGTCAGCGCCTTGACCAGTGCGATCAGTTCTGCCCGTTGAGCCGATGTTCCGGCTGCCAATGGCTCTGCCCATTGGTCTCTGTTTCCGTGGTTACGGCTGCCCCCACACATCTGATTCCTTCTCCGACGAAACTGCTGCTGTTCCGTGTACCAGGTGGCGTCTGCGTTCGGCAGTGGCTGGTCCTGGAGATCAGCTCTGATTCCGTGCACCTGTGCCAAAATTTCTTGACAGTCATGCAGAGGGGGGTCCCAGTCTGGGTTAGGGAGTAGCGTTGCCGGATTCAGGGTTGTCGGTGGCTTGAATAAAATTCTGGTGGGGTTTAGCAGTAGGCTCTGCTAATGGGTCAGACGGGCAATGCTGATCCAGCAGTCTGGGGGCTGTCTGAGTACCCCTTCAATAGCATGTGGGGTGGTAACATGCAGTTCTTGCCCCATGGCCAGCTTGTCTGTGTCCTTGACCATAGTGGCCACCGCGGCAATAATTTTTAAGCATGGGGGCCATCTAGTGGCCACCGTGTCCAGCTTTTTGGAGAGATAGATAGTCTATGGGTCTCTTCCAGGGACCTATGTACTGGACAAGGACCCCTTTTGCCACCCGTATTTCTCATCCACATACAGGTAGAAGGGCTTGGTTAGGTTGGGCAACCCAGAGCTGGGGCAGACAGCAAGGCCTGTTTAAGGTCATTAAAGACTGTTCATGGCCTCTGACCATTCAAAATTTTGCTGGTGCTTGGTGGCCTCATAGAGGGGTCTGGCCATCTCGGCAAAACCCAGAATCCATAACCGACAGAACCCTGCTGACCCCAGGAATTCACATACCTGGCGGATGGGTTGCAGCTGTGGGATCCTTAGGACGGTTTCCTTCCGTGCATCTGTCAACCATCTTTGTCCATCCTTTAATTTGTACCCTAGGTAGCTCACCTCTGCTCTGCAGACCTGGGCTTTTTTAGCTGAGGCCTGGTATCCCAGAGCTGCTATTGTCTGGAGCAAGTCCTTGGTGTCTCGCAGGCATGTGTTCCGGTCCTCTGTCACCAACAGGATATCATCTACATAATGCAATAAGGTCAAATGAGGGTGCTCGGAATGGAACTCACCCAAGTCTTCGTGTAAAGCCTCATCGAAGATGGTCGGTGAATTTTTGAATCCTTGTGGTAGTCAAGTCCAGGTGAGTTGGCCATTGATGCCTTTCTCGGGGTCTGTCCATTCAAAGGTGAAAAGGTCTTGGCTCTTGGGTGCTAAAGGCAGGCTGAAAAAGGCGTCTTTTAAATCTAAAAGTATACCAGTCTAAAATCTAACCGTATACCAATTTTTCCTGGAGGCAAGGTGGAAAGGAGGGTGTATGGGTTTGGGACCGTAGGGTGCATATCCTCTACTCGCTGGTTGACCTCCCTTAAGTCCTGGACTGGCCTGTAATTGTTAGAGCGGCCTGGTTAACAAATGTCCGGAGAGGCCTGGTTAACAAAAGCCATGATAATTGTGGCCTTTGTTTCTGGGGCTTATGGGTTCATAGGGGTGTACTGCCTAAAAGCCTCTATGATTCTCTCTAAGAGGGCTGCTGGACTCTCATCCTTACCCTGTCTTACATCATAGACCTTGGCCAGATTGGTAGGTTTGTGCGCGGCAGGCTGGAGACCTGCCATTAGAGTCTGGCGGTAGACCCGGAGTCTCTCCTTACCTTCAGCTGAGTTGTAGTAGGTAGGGCAGGATAAGGGGAAGGCAGCGTTTATAAGGTCTGGGTTTTGAGTTGGCTGTCTGTCCTCTCCCAGGACAGACTTCTGGGCTTCCGCCTGAGTTCGTTCTCTCTCTTCGGTGGTGAAGAGAACCTGCAAGAGCTGTTGGCAGTCATCCCAAGTAGGCTGGTGGGTAAAGAGAACAGTATCTAAAAGCCCGATTAGATCTTTCGGGTTATCAGAGAACTTTGCATTTTGGGTTCTCCAATTAGATAAATCACTGATGGAGAACGGCCAATATAGCATTGGTTGTTCTCCAGTCTCGGGAGACCCCATGGCGCGGAGCGGAAGGGCGGTGGAGTCGGCTGGCCCCACATTTGGAGGTGGGGCCTACCGGCGGGTCGGTCACCGCATCCCGGCTAGCGGCTAGCATGCACAGGGACTCCCTCGTCAGGGAGGGGTGGCGCCCCTTCTGCAGTCCCCGGTGCCTCCAATGGAGGGGCGGAAGGGGGAGGGGGTGCCCAGTAGGACAGCGGGAGGATCAGGTCCTCCGGAGAGGAATCCTGCAAGATCCAATAAAGGGGCGTTTTGATCTTAGAGTTGGTCTCCTTCTCCGCTTTCCGCAGGGCTAGAATCTTGGTAGGTCCTGCTTTGGGAGGTAAAAATGGTTTTAGCCAAGGAGGGGGATTCTCGATCATGTCCTGCCAGACCAGGATGTAGGGCACCTGGCCAGGGTGGCCGTCCGGTTTATCCCTGAAGATCACGGCCTTAACCTGTAAGATAATTGGTAGGTAAAGTTCCTTCTCGGGGCCATCCCACGTCAAAGGTTGGCCATTCTGACATGCAATAAGTTCGAAATTTCCCTCTCCGTATGTCTGTGCTCAGATTATGAGCTTTTCCCCTAACCTCCAAGAAGTGGGAGAGCATAAGAGACGGGGGGCGGGGGTGGGGGTGGGGCGGTGGTTTGGTCTGCCACATTATGTCCCCAGTCCACACCAAGGCACAGAGAGTTATGACGATTAACAAGGACACAGTAACACAGACAAACGTTCCAGTGCGGCCGCGGAGACAAAACAGAAAGTAACCTGAAGGGCTGGCTGTCCGTAATGGCAGTCGGCCCTCCTCACAGATGAGGATTTCGTCCTTCTGGCAGGGGCAAGGGACGTCTCCCAAGACCCCCGTCGACCAGCGCGTCCACCTAAGCCAATGTCGACCTAATTGTCTGGAATTCCTACAGGTAGAAATACAGCATGGAGCTCTCAGAAAATATGCGTGCAAGAGGTAGAAAAGTTGAGTGCACTTACCAGGTGTGGGACCCTCTGGGTGAGGTCCTGGGGGTCTCTCGGATCCCGGACAAGCCCCCAAATGTTGTGCTCAAGATTGCGAATCTGAGAAACCACCAAGGAGCTGACACCGATGCAAGCACACGAGGGTTTATTAGCAAGCTCGAGCTTTGGTCCAAGTATACCCGTCACAGCGGAGCAGGGACTTGGACTCTGAGGTGGGTTCCAGCTGGATTTTTAGGGGCTGGTCTAGGGGATTTCCAGTAAGGGTGGGGGAGTTTCTCAAGCTCTTAGTTCCTCATTCAGACATGGGGCATGCTCTGCAGTTTTTCTTGGAACTGACTTGGGCTACAGGCTGCAGGGTGTGCTTATCTAGGGGCCAGGGGTGGGGGACATTTTTTGAATTTCTTGGGTCCCACAGAGGGCAGCAAGATAAACATTTTAAAACCCACTTTGGCATCTTATTTTCTAGTAAAGTCACTGAAGATTATTGGAAGGCAAAGTAGACATAGTTAACTTTTGTTGATCACTTTGACTTGATCTACTATTACAGAGATTTCTTCTGGAAATCGGAGAGTAACATAAATATTATTGCAGTTTTGTTAATACCTTTAATGCAACAGGGTGGCAGAGGATCATAAATAGGGTTTTGTCCAGAGTACAACTGATTTACTGGCTTTCCTGTAGCAAAATGCTTTCTTATTCTAATAATATGTCTTCACATTTATTATTTCATGTGATTCTAATACATATGAAAAGATGTGAGGGGAAAAAGACAAATGAACATTGAGACACTAAGCTGTAAACTCGCTTTAAGCTTACCATTGTCGGGATCCCTGGGTGGCGCATCGGTTTGGCGCCTGCCTTTGGCCCAGGGCGTGATCCTGGAGACCCTGGATCAAATCCCATGTCGGGCTCCTGGTGCATGGAGCCTGCTTCTCCCTCTGCCTAGGTCTCTGCCTCTCTCTCTCCCTATGTGACTATCATAAATAAAAATTAAAAAAAAAAAAAGTTTACCATTGTAATCTTTAAGTTATTCCCATTTTATGGAGGAAAGATATGGAGACCCGTGCCTTATGCAGTTTGCTGCAAGACCCAGAGCCAAGAAGTGGCCTAGTTGGGCTGAGAACTTAGCAGGGCCCTAGGAACTTATTTAATGACCAATCAACTTGAATAAATAGTAGTTACCATGTAAGAGTGACTTTGATAAAAGCAAAGGTCTGTTTTTGGGCTTCATTTGCACTTTCTATTCTCACATAGGTGGGCAATATGACCTAAAACAGGCAGTAGATCCTATACTAGGAGGATGGACTCAGATTTGGCAGCCGAAATCCCATTCACTCTAGTTTCTTGCTGTGTGACCTTGGGTAAGTTCCTTCTGTTTTGCCTTACTTGAGAGACGGAGATGACTGTACCTACTTCATAGAGCTGTTCTAAGAAGTTAACATGCCCTAAGCACCGTAACATGCCACATGGTACACCGTGAGTTTGCTACATTCTACAGATCAATCAACATACCTCTGGTCACACCGCAAGTGGTGGAGCTGAAACCAGAGGCCGATCTTCCCATTCCAGTACCTTGTTTCGCATCTGCAGTTTGGCAAGCTGCAAGTGGAGACGCACATGCACCAACGTATTTGTCTTGCCTAAAACATTCATACCTGAATCCACGTCACCCTTTTCCCTTTCCCTTTGGGTGTGCAAGGGCAGCACAAAGACTGCGTCACCTTCACACTGCCTCAGCGACTTCCCGAGAAGCTTCCGCTCGAACCTCCCTCCCGCCCGCCGCCTTTGTTTGCAAGCAGGAAGGAGGTAGGACAAGAGGGCGGAGGCAAAAAAAAAAAAAAGGGGGGCAGGCGGGTGGCTCAGCGGTTTAGCGCCACCTTCGGTCCAGGGCGTGATCCTGGAGTCCCAGAATCGAGTCCCACGTCGGGCTCCTTCCATGGAGCCTGCTTCTTCCTGTGGGTCTCTGCCTCTGTCTGTCATGAATATTTTTTTTTTTTTTTAACAAAAAAAGAGGGCTGAGGCTTTCCCGCCTGCGCTGCTCTAGTTTGCAATTTGGTCCGAAAGGGTCAAGGAAAAGATTGGTCTCCCCGCTCTCGAGCGCCCCGGCTTTTTTGTCCTTAGGATTTGTCTACACCGTCAACATCAGGTTCAGCTGCGGCACTTAGTGAAGGGACCGGGAAGGGTGGTACCAAGTGCCAAGACCAGCCCGAGCCCTCCATTCAGCCGGGCGGCGTCAAACCACGTCCCGGCCTCAGACCCGTGGGGTGCTCAGGATATTCCTGCAGGACGGGGCACGGAACGCCGTAACCTACTCTTAATACACTTTTTAAAGGGCAAAGCGAAACACCTCTTTCTTAACGCAGTTAAGTGGCTCTGAAAAGAGCCTTTGGGTTGGATAGTGGCTCGGAGAGCGCTCACTTGGAGCTGGTGTACTTGGTGACGGCCTTGGTGCCCTCGGACACGGCGTGCTTGGCCAGCTCCCCGGGCAGCAGCAGGCGCACGGCCGTCTGGATCTCCCTGGACGTGATGGTCGAGCGCTTGTTGTAATGCGCCAGGCGCGACGCCTCGCCCGCGATGCGCTCGAAGATGTCGTTGACGAACGAGTTCATGATGCCCATGGCCTTGGACGAGATGCCCGTGTCGGGGTGCACCTGCTTCAGCACCTTGTACACGTACACCGAGTAGCTCTCCTTGCGGCTGCGCTTGCGCTTCTTGCCGTCCTTCTTCTGCGCCTTGGTCACCGCCTTCTTGGAGCCCTTCTTCGGGGCCGGCGCGGACTTGGCGGGCTCGGGCATGATGGAGAGAAAACAGACCTTCCTCAAGAGAAAAGAAAGTGAAGCGTGAGCAAAGTGCCGCTGGTCCCTTTCATATAGAACCTCTCATGCAAATTAGGTGTAAGTTAAAGTCCTGTGTCTGATTGGTGACTATTCAAACTAACGTCACAAATCAGTTCTGCCCAATCAAAACGCGAGAATCCGAAAGTTGCATTTCCATTGGTTAAGATAAAGCCGCAACCGTAACCAATGCAAAACCTTCTTTTTCGCGCCCAACAGGGGCTATAAAAAGGTGCTCGACTTCGCTTTCGCTTTTGCAACCACTTGCAGTGTGCTGAAATTCCTGATGTCGGGACGCGGGAAGCAGGGCGGCAAGGCTCGCGCCAAGGCCAAGACGCGCTCGTCGCGCGCCGGGCTCCAGTTCCCGGTGGGCCGCGTCCACCGCCTGCTCCGCAAGGGCAACTACGCGGAGCGGGTCGGGGCGGGCGCGCCGGTGTACCTGGCGGCCGTGCTGGAGTACCTGACGGCCGAGATCCTGGAGCTGGCGGGCAACGCGGCCCGCGACAACAAGAAGACGCGCATCATCCCGCGCCACCTGCAGCTGGCCATCCGCAACGACGAGGAGCTCAACAAGCTGCTGGGCAAAGTCACCATCGCGCAGGGCGGCGTCTTGCCCAACATCCAGGCCGTGCTGCTGCCCAAGAAGACCGAGAGCCACCACAAGGCCAAGGGAAAGTAGGTCTCTGGATTGCTTTGTCCCGCAGAACTTATAGTCAAACCAAAGGCTCTTTTAAGAGCCACCTAAGGCTTTTTGTAAAGAGCTGAACACTTTAGAGATTCCTAAGAATCAAAGCAGCGCTTTTCGTCAATCTCCCAACTTGGGTTAGGGGAGGGCAATTTGATGAAACTTCTCTTGTAAGGCCTAGTTTCCAAAGTCCTTTCTTGGTCATTTAAACTAAGTGTATGGAGTATTCCAGAAACCTGTCTTGGTTCGTCAGAACTAGGTAAACGGATTTTATGCAAGATCTTGTGAACTCTTCGATACTGGTGTCCTTTTTCAGCTTCATAAAGAGCGAAGTTCTGGTGATGGATTTCTTTTGAGGGCAAACAGCAGTTTCAAAACCTTGTGTTCTAGTTCTAGTTCTAATTGAAGACCTGAACGTACAGAGATTAACCCAAAACCTCCATTCGAAGCCAAAGCTATTTTTAGAGACTAGTGATTTCTGAGAAAGACCTAATCTGGCCTGTTACCACATTGCTAAATTGAAGTTCATTTTAATCACCCTTATTTGAGATGTCAACAGGTACCTGATGAACCAATGATCATTCTTCCTTTAAAACTGTCTTTCTTGGTCTTTTTATTGTGACTTAAAGATTTCGATGGGGATCCCTGGGTGGCGCAGCGGTTTGGCGCCTGTCTTTGGCCCGGGGCGCGATCCTGGAGACCCGGGATCGAATCCCACATCGGGCTCCCGGTGCGTGGAGCCTGCTTCTCCCTCTCCCTCTCTCTCTCTCTCTGTGACTATCATAAGTAAATTAAAAAAAATAAATAAAGGTTTCGATGATGCATGAGTGGATTTAGGTTCTCTTTAATTGCCTGCCGTGGTGACTTCTAGTTCAGGGGCATCAGATACGTCATGCCATGCAAGGAACCTACAGTTTTGGCAGTTGCTAATGAGAAGTATTGGAGTGCCTTAGTTTAGCCCTATATAGGTTCCTGGTGGTACGCAATTAGATTCTTCAAGACAAAGGAATTACAAGTAATTCTGTTAAATTACAGATATATAATGCTTCGTACCTATGGCAGAGCCAGTCCCTCCGTTCCCAAATTAATAAAGACAGTAGGTTTCTATTAGCATTCTGAATTTCCAGGAGAGCAGAAAATTAAAATCTACTACAATAAGATTGGTTTACATCACCTGAAAAAAAATAAGTTCATGTAAGTATGTTTCTCTGAAGTTACTGGCCTTTGGATTGTTCACATACAAATTAGATTTTTCTTACGGAAAAATAAAAACAAATCTTTAAGTATTCGAAGGATAACAAATTGAGGGAAGAGGGTATAGAGTTGAGCTGTCCTGTGTGGTAGCCACTAGCCAATTGTGGCTAGTAATCACTGCGTGGGACTAGTTTGATTCAAGAAGCGCAAAACATGTAAAATACGCGCTGGATTCCGCAGAGTTCGTATAAAATAAAAAGGAATGTAAAATATCTAACAATTGTTGACCACATGTCAAAATGAGTATTTTGGCTGTATTGGGTTAAAGCATTACTTAAAATAATTTCTCCACGTTTTATTTTGTTGTAATGTGGATCCTAAAAAATTTATCCTTAGGTAGCTCGAATTTATTTCTATTGGAAATCTCCTAATATAAAGCAGACAGGAAAAATATATTGAGGTCACGGGCGAGTGTTATCAGGGCATTTGAGGCACCCTAAAAATTTCGAGCCCTTAACCAATCCGGTTACTGGTTTTATAGACGGTTCCCTTTTGTCCAATCAGCGTCTGACTCTCACTATAAATACCATGACTGGCTCTCTTGTAACCTGCACGGAGTATCCAGGCTATGGCTCGCACGAAGCAGACGGCGCGCAAGTCGACGGGCGGCAAGGCCCCGCGCAAGCAGCTGGCCACCAAGGCGGCCCGCAAGAGCGCGCCGGCCACCGGCGGCGTCAAGAAGCCGCACCGCTACCGGCCCGGCACGGTGGCCCTGCGCGAGATCCGGCGCTACCAGAAGTCCACGGAGCTGCTGATCCGCAAGCTGCCGTTCCAGCGCCTGGTGCGCGAGATCGCGCAGGACTTCAAGACCGACCTGCGCTTCCAGAGCTCGGCCGTCATGGCGCTGCAGGAGGCGTGCGAGGCCTACCTGGTGGGGCTCTTCGAGGACACCAACCTCTGCGCCATCCACGCCAAGCGCGTCACCATCATGCCCAAGGACATCCAGCTGGCGCGCCGCATACGCGGGGAGAGGGCCTGAGCCGTGAGATCGCCCACTCCTTTCCAAAGGCTCTTTTCAGAGCCGCCACATGCACGATGAAAAGGCCTGTTTCCCTGTGATCCGTGGTGCAGCAATTTCCTCTGACAGGCCCCAAGTCGGCATTTTAATCTTGTTTGATAAGTGTTGTAAAATTACTTCTAAGTGTTTTCTTTTGTCTTAGCAGGTTCTTGCTCCAGTTTTGTAATCTTAGTCAACTTTACCTGCCACCTGCCTTGTCCTGTTTGCTCTACTCTATCCCACAGAACGGTAGAGAAGACTACCTGTAAATCCGGTCTCCCTCTTAGGAGGTAGGTGGGAATTTCGAAATTACATTGTACTTTAGAAATAGGAAAGAAAGATCACAGCTGCTAACTGTTAAACCATTGACCATTACACTAGGTGCCTTTATGTAAGTGACTTCATGGTAAATAGGACCTGTGATTGCCACATCCGGAAGTAAAGATGATGCTAATATTTTGCAGATTAAAAATGTCCTATAGCCTACCAGCAGAAAGTATTGTGTCCTCTGTAATCTGCCTTAATCTCGAGCTGGTGGAATAAATTTGGATGGAAGCAGTGCCCTCCACTCCCTAGCACACACTTGCGGCTGTGGTGATCCAATCCAAGGCCAATTTCTAAGCAGCTTGGTATTGAGGATAAGCCATCTTCCTTCTGAGCTGATAAAGCTAAAGTCCCACAAAAGTCCCAGTTCCCACTGATCAATAAAGTCTTGCTGGCTGGGCAGAGGCCCATCTAGAGGTTTGCAGTAAACAATTCTCCAAATTAGTCTTTCGATTTTGAATATATGAAGATTTATTTAGGAGCAGTGAGTAGTTCTAGTTAATGTGATTTTGGATACTCCATGTCTCTCAACACTCATATGCTAAACTGACATCTTGTGGCCTTCAACCTAAACTCTGGCCTTTCAAGTTGCTTTCATAACACAGTACCAGGACTTGTTTTGCTATAGGGATGGCACAGATAATTTTGGCTTGTGCTAATGTATAGATGGTGGGGCCATCTGCTAATGTAAGGCTCACTGAAGTAGTGATGGCATTGATCAGTCTGAGATAGGCATTTAGAGTTTCCTGATGATATACAAGAATATCATGAATATGCACACTGAGTGTAGGAGATAAGTCTGGGATGAACATAAAGATTTGGGAGTCATTAGTATATGAATAATATTTAAAACCAAGGGACAGGCCTACAGATCCCTTCTGGCTCCCCATCCCGTCTTGCAATCTCTACCTCTCCACTTTATTGCCAGTATTAAACTGTCATTTGCTTGAACATATAAGCCAGGAGACTGATGCTCCTTCTCTGCTAACATTACCATCCTTCTAATTCCCAATTCCCTTGAACCCTCAGATCAGATGTTTCTGCTCACAGATCTCACTCCTCCTCTATGCCCTCCTAATATCCTCTGCTTACTTCTCTTGCTACATTATGTTTTAATTATTTGCTTTTGTGTGATTCTTCCCATTAGACTGAGTTTCTTTTGGATAAGCAATGTCTTACTGCCATGTCCTTAATGCATTGTACTTGAATATGAAATAAATTGTAGAAATAGAAGTATATTACAATTTAATGAAAGAGGAAACAAGAAATAGTCTTTGTCCCTCCATTTCTTGAGATGGCAGTACTAGTAAGTGAAAGAAATATTCTTTCTGAGGAGCCCTAGAATAAAAGGATCTTGCTTTGCCCATAAAGAAAGGTGGACAACTACCAGGATCTTTTACCTCACTATTCTCAAAGCAGCTTTTGACTTTTCAAAGGTGTTCTTATTTTTGTTGTTGTTGTTTGTTTCAAACTGTGAGTCTCCATAATCAAAACTTGGAATCAAATTAATGGCATTCAGTATCAACCTTGTTACAGCCAAGCTTGTACTGCGATATTGGACATCTCATTTGGCAATGTTGATGTCAGGCAGTAATGTGGATAATTAGATACTATAAATTATATTTGAACACTTTTAGTAAGCATGTCATTTCAAACAAATTATTCTTTAAAGGCAATTTTTTAAGATACATTTACTATCTTCCTACTGACAACCCTAATGGATTTCTGGGTACCATTTATGGAAACCACTCCTGCATCCTCCCAAAGTTGCTTTGAGAGTAAAACTGGTCACCCATAAGCAATCTACAACTAATTTCCAGATATGGACTTAGGTCAATTTATTGTTGTTGCATATTCAATATAAATGACTTTGAAATTATAGTCTATTTAGTTCACAAATGTCAATTTGCTGGCAAAGAATTCTAAGTACTGTGTAGGGAAGGAAAACATGTTTTTCTTCTGCCCTTCTGGTACTCTTCTACCCTACCTGGTTTAAGGAATAAATTGACATGAGACAGATTTAACAGGAGGAAATGCACATTTTATCACATGGATAGTCCCACTGAAAATTTGTGAGGACTTGACAGAATAAAGAAAACAGGTACCTTACAAGCCCTGATTCTAACTCCCTAGCCTTTAGAGACCCTTTCCCTCTGGTGACAAGGTCTTTTTACCTTTTAGTATAGGGAGGGTATTTTTCATGTGGGCTTATTACTTCCTTTCAGGGAAAATGGTAAGGTCGGAGGGTCTTTACCCTGTTTTGCAAGTAGGCTCACCTGCCAATAATCACTATGCCATTGTAGGAAACTAAAGGCAAAGGGGGACGGACCTTGGCTACAATAATTGAAGCGTGGCCAAGGGTTAAAGATGACCTAGGCCTGGAAACTCTGCCCCAAATCATCCTTACCTGTACAATATAGTCCAGTTAAAGCAAGTGTCATCTTTTTATGACTATAGAGATGGCTCTGAAAAGAGCCTTTGTTTTGCGACATTCCCTACTTTGCCCCTCATTTGGCCTTGTGGTGGCTCTCGGTCTTCTTGGGCAGCAGCACGGCCTGGATGTTGGGCAGGACGCCGCCCTGCGCGATGGTCACGCGGCCCAGCAGCTTGTTGAGCTCCTCGTCGTTGCGGATGGCCAGCTGCAGGTGGCGCGGGATGATGCGCGTCTTCTTGTTGTCGCGGGCCGCGTTGCCCGCCAGCTCCAGGATCTCGGCCGTCAGGTACTCCAGCACGGCCGCCAGGTACACCGGCGCGCCCGCCCCGACCCGCTCCGCGTAGTTGCCCTTGCGGAGCAGGCGGTGGACGCGGCCCACCGGGAACTGGAGCCCGGCCCGCGACGAGCGCGTCTTGGCCTTGGCGCGAGCCTTGCCGCCCTGCTTCCCGCGTCCCGACATACTGAGTTACTAGTAACGTTTGCTAAGGGTGGCTAGAGCACCACGTTCAGAAATGCATGTTTTATACCTTCTCCTGGGCGCGAAAAGGTTGTTATAAGATTGGCTAACATTTCATTTCAATTTAGACCAATGGAAACGCAACTCCGTAGAGTGACCATCTTGATTGGGTCAAACTGTGACGTGATGTCACCCAGGGTAATCTCCAATCACCAGCGACCCTCCCCGTCTCCTTTGCAGAAGTCACTATAATTGAAGAGGTGCGTTTCCCTGGTTTACTTTGCTTTCCTGCCAGTCACCATGCCCGAGCCCGCCAAGTCCGCGCCGGCCCGGAAGAAGGGCTCCAAGAAGGCGGTGACCAAGGCGCAGAAGAAGGACGGCAAGAAGCGCAAGCGCAGCCGCAAGGAGAGCTACTCGGTGTACGTGTACAAGGTGCTGAAGCAGGTGCACCCCGACACGGGCATCTCGTCCAAGGCCATGGGCATCATGAACTCGTTCGTCAACGACATCTTCGAGCGCATCGCGGGCGAGGCGTCGCGCCTGGCGCATTACAACAAGCGCTCGACCATCACGTCCAGGGAGATCCAGGCGGCCGTGCGCCTGCTGCTGCCCGGGGAGCTGGCCAAGCACGCCGTGTCCGAGGGCACCAAGGCCGTCACCAAGTACACCAGCTCCAAGTGAGCACGCCAGCGGCTGAAAGAACGGTCCTGACAGACCTAGACCTACGGCCAACCGGCTCTTTTTGGAGCCGTCCACGCTTACTAAGAAAGCTGTTCGCTGTTCGGATCCGGCCACAGTAGGAATGCACATTAATCTTTTGGATGTCCATAGCTATAGGTAAAGTGTAGCGTTCTAGTTAGCTTTGTGTATTTCAGTCTAATTTCCAGTTGCGGGGATCCCTGGGTGGCTCAGCAGTTTAGTGCCTGTCTTGGTCCAGGACGTGATCTGGGGTTCTGGGATCGAGTTCTGCATCAGGCTCACTGCATGGAGCCTGCTTCTCCCTCTCCCTGTGTCTGCTTCTCTCATGAATAAAAATCTTTTAAGTGATTTCCAGTTGGTTTTTAATACTATTTCATGTATTCATATCCATGCTAACAACACCTCGGATCTTTGGGCTGCAGAAATATTTGCAAGTCCTGAACCACCGTGTTAACGGAGGAAGTCCTAGGCATCCTAGCTCTCCGCTTATCTCTGGGTGGGGTATCCACACGGGGCCCACCATCTCCCATTACGATTCTAAGCATTGTGAAAGGGGTATTAGCGATGTGACCTGTAAGATTTGAAAATTAAACCGGAGTTCTTTCTCATGGGCTGAGTGAAGAGTTGAAAATATTTCTTTTACTTCTCCGTCTCTTCAGTTCTCTTTAAAATCCTATTTCCAATAATGCACCATATCTTCATTGGTTGGCAAGTCTGCTGCCTCTGACCGGGAAAGCCAAAATTAATGGCAGGTCTGTTATGGGTGCTGTGTTGCACTAGCTGCTGTAAATCCAGGAAGATCTACTATTATTACCTTTGCTTAAGAGTAAGGACTTGCAGAGAGGATTGCAAGAACAAAATACTTGTAGCCAGTGTACTTAAGGCTAACTTTGACATTTGCTTACACAGTGCATCCACTGTTCTTCTTCAATCTTACATTTATTCTACCAACTGGCCTTGAGTGCCTCTGCTAAGGAATGTATCTGCAATGGGAAAGTCCCAGCATTTTCAGAAGAAACAGTTAAGAAAATACGGACTCTAAAAAGAAACTGGGAAGTGAATGAAATGGAGCCTACTGACTGAATAAGGTCTTGTAGCTGGGAGGGGAAGTCTGCTCCAGGCAGAGTGCCCTGGACTTAGAAATTCTTCAGCATGGCTAGAGGCTGGAATGGCTGGGGATGAATGTGGAAAGCTCAGTAGAAGGGGGGTAGCAAACCTTGCTATACTGAGGAGCTTTGTACACTTTGAAAAGATACAGAGAGTTTATCTACGAGACCACAGAATTTTAAAATCTTGTAAAATGTCTGATTCAGAATCCTTATTCTGGTGGCCCAGTTGAGAGCAGCTTGAAAGGAGGTGAGATCCAGGTGAAAAGGTTGGAAAGAGCAGCCAGGGGTGAGGGTCTGAACTGGGTGAGGCAGAGATCAGGAAGAGGAAGAGGGGAGGAGGGGATGTTAGGGGGGTTAAGGGGAAAGGGAGCAGGAAGGTTAGGCCTTGCTGCAGACTGACTCACAGGGGTGAAGGAGGCCAGGCTAGAGTGTCTGGCTTTCAGCTGTGCCAAGTCACTATTCAACAAAGTGGTTTCAGAAGGTGGGCGTGGGAGGAAAGGTGATTTGCCAGGTTCATTCTGACTTGTTGCCCCCATAATACAGCAGCTAGGCATATACTGAATATCTAAAGCTTAAAAGAGTTTGAGAAAACTGCAGAAGTGGGAAGGTCACAGGAACCTCCCCCACCCTGTTCGGCCCTTCCCTGAAAGCTGGAGATAAACCTATCCTGGGGAAGGGGCCAGCCCTGTACCCTGAGGAGGGGAGGCCTTCTTATCACCAGAGACCAGGTATTTAGATGTAGGGTCACAGGGAAAAAAAAAACAAAAAAAAACCTTGCTGTTTCTTCGGTTTACCACCCCAAGCTCAAACCACTTTCTCTTGTCACATCTTCACAAATGCATCTTTGTCTAAAAGACATGAAATCCCCCTGATTAGTTGCTTTGGGACTTCCTTGTCTCCTGAAGGCGTCCATGTAACATGCAAAACTTTGATAAAATGTGTATGCTTTTTTTCCTATTACGGATATTAATTAATTAATATCTTCTGTCAGTTTAACTCGTAGGCAGAGATCCAAAGAAGGCAGAGAATGTTCCATTCCCCTACAGTTCATCCAACAAATACTTATTGCCCCTCTGCTGCGAGCCAGGCCCAAGTTCAAACCCAGCGGATAGGACAGTGAAGAGTTTCAGAACAGAGCTCCCCAGTCCTTGGGTGGCTCCGCAGGAGATCTGGGATCTAGTCCCACATCAGGCTCCCTAGATGGGGTCTGCTTCTCCCTCTGCCTGTGTCTCTGCCTCTGTCTCTCTCTCTGTCTTAAATAAATAAATAAATAAATAAATAAATAAATAAATAAATAAGGCTCCCCCAAATGCCACTGACACGTGGACAATTTTGAAATAATGTCACCTGAAAATACCATAGGTCAGAAGGAAATTCTGCCCTTCCCCTAACTGCTTGAAAGAATTTAGGTGACGGGTTGATAACAGAGAGGGAATTCTTATAAGATGGAACTTTTTCATGTGAGATCTCAGCTCCTCAGGGTACATGTGCAATTGCTAAACATCTCTTCTCTCGCTATGAATTTTGCTTCTCTTTGTAGTCCCCTCTCCCATTCCTTAGCTGGAGATAGCATAGAAACCTTCATTCTTTGACTGTCTTTAAGTATTGTTTTTTACAGGGCTTCTGAACTGACAAAATTAAATGTTTTTCTTCTATGAATCTGTCTCCTGTCACTTTAAGTAGTAGATCAGCCAGAGAATCTAGAAGGAAATGAAGGAAAATTTTCTAGCTCCTACAATATACAAAGATGTAGAACTCATTCTTTTAAATATGTCCATTTTCCTGCACTTAAAAAGTTGTGAAAAAAATTGTTGTGAAAAAAATTCCAAAGGGGGTGTATTCTTTCTTTAAACCTGAAAGAAGAAGAAAAATAAATAAATAAGCCTGAAAGAAGTTACAATATTTTGAAAGGGAGCAGAATAGAGCATTTCAACATATGCCTCTTTTTGGTGTTGTATCAGTGACAGTGAATGTATATGCACAACAGTTATTGCTGGCACAGGCGAATGTGGTAAGAATTTGGTGGACAATGTAGTAATATTAATTAAATACCACAAAATCTACATCCTCTCTGACAAGGCATTTCAATTCTAGGTTATCCTCAGGAAATAACTTATGTACAGAACGCTCTTTTAAAATAGAAAACAATAGAAAGCATGTTTTGTTAAATACTAGAGATTTTGTTTAAAATGTATCATAGAAAATATTTATGATGGAGTATTACACAGGCATAAACAATCACCTTTTTTTTTTTTCATGTTCTCTAATGTAAATTTTCCAAAGATTCAACGGAGAATAGATTTCCTTTGGTAAAGGAAGCTGATTAAACTATAGAACAGAATAGAATTTTTAGAAATAGTTCTGTCAGGGAGCACAGATATCCTGTCCCTTTCTAAGTCTTTGTGACCAGGCCAAGAATCACATTGGCATGAGACAGATTAACAGGAGAAAATCAAATTCAGTTGTACAGGCAATCCATACAGACATGAAATTTCAAAGACTGTCAAGCAAAATGTGAAGTATGTATGTCTTTCTGAGCTAAGGAGAAAGAGTCTGGGGCCTGGGACTTCAAAGGGAAGCATGTAATTCACAGGAAGAGTAATTGTCTGGTACACAAATATTTGCGGGCACTCAGACAAACAGGCCTTGGTCCTCCCCATGGTCTGCACCTAGCTCATAGCATAATACAATTATCTGCTGTGATGACTCTCTTCCTGGACCAGGTGTTCTATCTAATTACCTTTTAGGCAGTTGTGGAGGGGGTAAAAACCTTTCCAGAATTTGCTGGATTTTAATACCTTCATGTCAAAGCGACCACTCTTAGGATGGCCTGCCCTCACCCCGTACAGTTCCAATATCGTGTTAAAAGTGGTACATCTGGGCAGCCCAGATGGCTCAGCGGTTTCATGCTGCCTTCATCCCAGGGCGTTATCCTGGAGACCCGGGACAGGCTCCCTGCATAGAATCTGCCTGCTTCTCCCTCTGCCTGAGTCTCTGCCTCTCTCTCTCTCTCTCTCTCTCTCTCTCTCTCTCTCTCTCTCTCTTTCTCTCTGTGTGTGTCTCTAATGAATAAATAAATAAAAATCTTTTTTAAAAAAAGTGATACATCTGTACGTCCGTACTTCAGTACGGAAAAGAATTATTTTAAATATGTGGCTTGTTAAGGAATTGCTAGGTAATTGGTTAAGGTATACCGTAGTGAATTCTTAAGAAGGAGTAACAGGTATTAAGAGCAACTTTTTTGTGTCCTTAGAGAAGGGGAATTGATTAAAATATAGCGTAAAGAAGTTCCGAGACACCATACATAGCATTGTGTGAATTTTCTTTGAAAAAATATGTGCATTTATCTGTTCACCAAAATATCAAATTAGCTAGCAGTAGTAACTGTTCTTTGTGTGGTGGGAGAAAAGGTTATTTTATTTCTTGTCCTTTTTTTGTATTTCTAACAACATTCGCGTTTGGCATTAGCATTCAAAAGCAATTTTTAAAGCTTTAACACAGGGTAACAGAATAGTTATGAGGCACAAAAAAAAAAAAAAAAACAGTACAAGGAAACCTAAGCCTGTTTTGTTTTTTGTTTTGTTTTGTTTGCCTTCCCTCTCCCACGGAGTGGCACTTCCATCTTAGCTTCTCAGTTCGGTCCTCTAGCAGAGGTAGAAAAGCCTGCAGCGCTGGAGAAGGGACGGGACGTTGTGCACTAGTCTCTCAGCTAGTTCGGTCGCGGCAAGGGCGGGAAGGGGCTGGGCAAGGGCGGCGCCAAGCGCCACCGCAAGGTGCTGCGCGACAACATCCAGGGCATCACCAAGCCCGCCATCCGGCGGCTGGCCCGGCGCGGCGGCGTCAAGCGCATCTCGGGCCTCATCTACGAGGAGACCCGCGGGGTGCTCAAGGTGTTCCTGGAGAACGTGATCCGGGACGCCGTCACCTACACGGAGCACGCCAAGCGCAAGACGGTCACGGCCATGGACGTGGTCTACGCGCTCAAGCGCCAGGGCCGCACCCTCTACGGCTTCGGCGGCTGAGCTCCGGAGTCCTCCCTAAACACAAAGGCCCTTTTCCCGGCTCCCCCAACCCTCACCCAAGGAGCCGTGACACTGGCTTGTAGTGCTTGCGTTGCGCACACGCCCTGCGGTGCAGAGCTGGCTGGTCTGTGTGGCCAAAGCGCTGTGGGCCATATCACTGTCACTTGCACAGGTTGCTAGTCCTGTCAACCAACCCTATAGCCAAAAGTTTCCCCTGAGTTGGTTCGGTGTCTTTTAAGTTCGTGCAAGAATTTGCCCAAGGAGGTAGGTCCTGTGAAAGGGCTTTTAGAGCTTGTTGGCGTTCAGCATAGGTTCCTTTGTAAAACTGGACACTGGAGAAACGTTTCTACCTCTGCTAATCTTCCAAGAGATGTCCTAATGGAGAGTCTGCCTGATGCAGTTGGAAAAATGTTCAGACAATAATTCAGAAAGAATTGTCATAGAAAAAATGACAATTTTTAACTTTAATTATAATCTTCTCCATGAGCAAAATGAGACCTGGCTTGTCAAGTCAAGGAGGTCACTGGTCTATTAGCTTGGAGGGACAATTAATGGCCTATTACTTGTCTCCATCACTTACCCCAAAGAATAGAGAACTTTTAAAATTTAAAGTGAATAAAGATGTTTTGGTCTTTTAAGGATGATGATCATAGTTGGCATTCATTAGGTGTTTATAATGGACAAATCATGAATGTGTCATTGGTGATTGCCAATAAAAACTCAGTTACAGGGACGCCTGGGTGGCTCAGCAGTTGAGCACCTGCCTTCAACCCAGGGCATGATCCTGGAGTCTCAGGATGGAGTCCCACATTGGGTTGCCTGCATGGAGCCTGCCTATGTCTAACCCTTTTTCTGTGACTCTCATGAATAAAAATAAAATCTTAAAAAAAAAAAAACTCAGTTACAGTAACATTGTTCTGTTTAAGCAAATATAAGTATGTTCTATCCAACTTAAATAGTATGATTGTTAAACATTTATATTAGAAGCATTTTATCTCATTGCAACAGGGATGAATATTCTTTATTTACTCTTTTTTTTCCTATTGTGAGATATATAACACAACAGTTCTACAATTGTATATGGCTAATCACAAATACAAAGTATGTCTTTTCTCATGAAATGAGAAAGTATGAGTGGCCCAGTGGTCACTTGGGAAACTACAAAAGGAGTTTAGATGTGAGTAATACATTAAAGGTTTCGTTATTCAAAATTTAGGACCTGGATTTAGGAAAGATATTATCAAGAAGTTTTCAAAGTTTCATTAAATCAGGCTATGAATATAAGTCATAGATGTCTAAAGACAAGTACTAGAATATTAGCTATAAAAATTGCTATTTTTATAGCAATTTATAAATAATGTACAGAATATGTAGAGCTTTTTTAAATTTTTTTCTAAGAATTGACTTATCAAAATTATTCAAGAAATTAATGGAAAGCTACAAATGCCTAATTGACCCTCAGAACGTGTTGGGGAAATATAATTAAAAAAAAAAAAAGATCTCCCAACTCAGAAAATTGCTCCACAAAGGTACTAGAAACAGAAAAGTTTTATTATTGAATAAGCATTAAATCAGAATGTGATACATATCACGCAGTCTGCTACAGGAATAGCAGACAAAAAAGAAATCTCACTCTGTCAGAGAGCTAAGTGAACACAAAGCATTCAAAATACTGCAGGTTTTGCAATTTGGAGTTCTATGTTAGCTGAAGTTAGGCCCAGGTCTTCCCAGGAAAACAGGAGATTACCATCATTAAGAAAGGCACCACTGTATTTCAGAGATGCCTCTAGGGTCCTTGAGGACCCTACCAGCTCTGGTAGACCGGCTAGATGCACATTTAACATCTGACCTTACAAGGGTTAAATCTTGGTGAGGCAAGAAGGTGCTGAGTTTTTAACTTCAGCTTTAAAAAGTATATATGTTGGGATCCCTGGGTGGCGCAGCAGTTTGGCGCCTGCCCTTGGCTCAGGGCGCGATCCTGGAGACGCGGGCTCGAATCCCATGTCGGGCTCCCGGTGCGTGGAGCCTGCTTGTGTCTCTGCCTCTCTCTGTGACTATCAAAAATAAAAAATGTATATATGTCATCATTGCTTATTCTCTTTATATGCATGTGGGCAATGACTACTTCAATCTATGTATCTGTGTTAGCCAAGCTTCCTACCAACACCCAAGTCTTCACCTTTGATTTTGGGATCTTTCTCTAGTTTTTAAGATCTTCTCTGGGAGAATCCTAAAACTACTTTGAGCATCGGTCTGGATTTATGTCCTAATTTCGAGTTTGACTCCTTTTGTACTTTGCACTAAGGATCTCTTTTTAGTAGCTCTCATGGGTTAGGAGCTGCCTTCATTAATGGTAACATTTGTGTTGCAACCGTTTCCCTTATTTAGTTGAAATGCCTTTTTTTTTTTTTAATTTATTTATTCAGAGAGAGAGAGAGACTGAGAGGCAGAGAGACACAGGCAGAGGGAGAAGCGGGCTCCATACAGGGAGCCCAACGCGGGACTGGATCCTGGGTCCCCAGGATCAGACCCCGAGCTGCAAGGGGCGCTAAACCGCTGCGCCACCGGGGGTGCCCTGAAATGCCTTTTTATTGCATCCCACCCTCACCAGCTGTTCTGTAGGTATTGGCCAGCATCGAGTCTTCTACAGGCTTCCAGTCTCTGCTCCCAGTGGTAACCATGTCTGAAGCCCGGGGCTAATCACATGCTTGGTCCCTTAGAAGGGAGACAAGCAAAGTATGGCTCGTCATGATTTGCTCTCCAGTTAAGCTCATTTAAGCAGAGGACAGATGGCACCAAAATAGAGGTCACTAGATTGTGATTAAACTTTAAGGCCTCGTATACACTGAAATGTGCCTTCTCGCAAACTCAAGGCTGAGGTGCCAGGTGCCTTTCCTCCTTCCAATGTCAGGCAAGTTTATTAAAATTCCGCTTAAAGACCTATTTTTTAAGATTTTACTTATTCATTCAGGAGACGGAGGTAGACACAGGCAGAGGGAAGCAGGCTCCATGCAGGGAACCCGACATGGGACTCGATCATGTATCTTCAGGATCATGCCCTGAGCTGAAGGCGGCCTTAAACCGTTGAGCCACCCGGGCTGCCCCCGCTTAAGGATTTAAACGTCAAAAGTTAAATACAGAAAACCTAATACAACTTCAAAAACAAACCCGGGCGAAACCATGGAAAATTTAGGACTAGCACGTTCTCTAAGAACTAAGGACCGGCAAACACAAAGACGGAAACAGGGATTTCAAGGCCAAAATCATTTTTCCAGAAGTTAGAACCAAACCAGCATCGCAACTCCTCAGATGAAAGGATGGAGGCCCTGAAAAGAGCCTTTGGTTTATAGACAACGGATCCGGAGCTCAGCCGCCGAAGCCGTAGAGGGTGCGGCCCTGGCGCTTGAGCGCGTAGACCACGTCCATGGCCGTGACCGTCTTGCGCTTGGCGTGCTCCGTGTAGGTGACGGCGTCCCGGATCACGTTCTCCAGGAACACCTTGAGCACCCCGCGGGTCTCCTCGTAGATGAGGCCCGAGATGCGCTTGACGCCGCCGCGCCGGGCCAGCCGCCGGATGGCGGGCTTGGTGATGCCCTGGATGTTGTCGCGCAGCACCTTGCGGTGGCGCTTGGCGCCGCCCTTGCCCAGCCCCTTCCCGCCCTTGCCGCGACCAGACATGGCCAAGGCGCTCTGTGCGACGACCTCACGGCGCTGGGCCTGCGCCTCCGCCGGGAGTAATTATAAGCAGGCGTCGGACCTCGTTGAGAACTGAAGGCGCGGGCGGGAAGCGGGGCTCCGGCCCCTCCTCGGGCTCCGCCCCCTCGGGCCGCGCTCCCGGGACCATCACGTGAGACACGGAGCCGGGCGCTCGCCGCCGAGCTCGGCGGGTTCCGCACCCCAGGGCTGTTCGCATCTGCAGCCTCCCCTTCTTACTTAGCAGAATGTGATTAGGGGCTTCCAGTTTCCAACACAGTCCTGCACTTCCTCGTCCCCATTGGAGTAATTGTTAGCTGGGAAGGGTACCCCCAGATGCCACCCCAAAATAAGACCTGCCGTCGCAAAATGGGCCACTTTGGTAGGAAGGGGAGAAGAATATGACACCCCAAAATAGGGATCTTTGGCATAGACTGTTTTCGAGATTTTTTTTTAAGATTTTATTTATTTATTAAAGACACAGGGAATAAGAGAGAGACAGAGACACAGGCAGAGGGAGAAGCGGGCTCCATGCGGGAGCCGGACGCGAGACCCGATCCGAGGTCTCCAGGAACACACCCCGGGCTAAAGGCGGCGCTAAACCGCTAAACCACCGAGGCTGCACTGAGCAGATTATTTTTAAGAAATGCCACACACAGGAGAGTCTCTGAAACCAGAGTGGAAGTCACTCTTAGGGACATTTTCCATGTAGGAAGGAGACCTCAGTCGGCAAGTGTGTCCCTCTCTGCACCAGAAGAAGAAAGTCGGTCATCGGAGAGTCTTGTCCGTGGGAGAAGGCCCGGATTTCACTCTGCGTGAAAACCTGTTCCCCACCCGTTTCCTGGTAGCCCATACGTGACCCCCTCCCTGCTCACTCCCCTCCTACACCATCTTGGAGCTGAAGACAGTGTTCAAGGTGATGGCTTCGGCTTTTTCAGGGAGTTTTACTCAGTTCTTCAGAGTATCTCCCACGTGTACAGGAGGTGTACATGTTATTAAACTGCAGTTTGTTTTTCTCATTAATTTTTTTTTTACGGTGGGGGGGAATCACAGCACCTAGAAGGGTAGAGGGGAATTTATCCCCCCCAACTATTCTTTTTACTACATCATTTTTTTTTTTAACATCAGTATTTTAAGTTGTAGTTGTATTACAGGTCATAGTTTGGTACCGCATTATTTATTATTTATTTTCAAAAGTTTCTGATGTAGTTTCACAAGATTTCTTTGGGGGGTAAATTTAGAATCATTGTAGTAGTTTGGGAAAAAAGCTCTTTGAGCGTTTGATCGTAATTGCCTTAACTAAAAATTAATTAGAATACAATACCATACAATACAAATCCTGCAAAAGTCAAGTACTTAAATCTAAAAATTTGGTACTTTGGGTTGCTTTTAAGCATTTTAATTTTTAATGACTAAAATAAAAATTTGGTTTTCATACAATATTTAACATGGAATGATATTTTTGGCATACATTGAATTTTATTTTTAAAGAACAGATATGGGATCATACTCTGAAATTTTTGACACTGATACAATTTTGTAAACTCCTGTAATAATGTGAGTCATTCAGTTGCGTGTTTTAGAAAGTGCTTAATAGCTGAAACAAGAGTTAGAAAAATCTGGTTTTAAATTGTATCTCCTCTATCAATCAGATTTTGGGCACTTGCTTATATCCTCTAAATCTTTACTAATCTAGAGTGGAATTACACAGTAACAATACTTACCTCATAGCATTATTGTAAGAACTAATGAAGGGCACCTGACTGGCTCAATCCATAGCATCTGACAGCTCAGATCATGATCTCAGGATTGTGAGATCAAGCCATGTGTTTGACTCTGTGCTGAGTGTGGAGCCTACTTGTGATTCTCTGTCTCCCTCTGCCCCTTCCCTGCCTATCACTCTCTTTCAAAAAAAAAAATTAATGGAGATAATTTACATAAAATATTGAGTATACAGAATATGCTTCTGTATACTATAAAAAGAAATTTAAAAAAAAGATTTTATTTATTTATTCATGAGAGACACACAGAGAGAGAGAGGCAGAGACATAGGCAGAGAGAAGCAGGCTCCATGCAGGAAGCCCAACGTGGGACTCAATTCCAGAACCCCGGGATCATGCCCTGAGCCAAAGGCAGATGCCCAACTGCTGAGCCACACAAGCATCCCTAATTTTATTTTTAGTACTAAATTTAAAATATTTTATAGTTATATAATACTTTAAAATATTTTTACTTTAATAAACATAGATTTAAAACATGCTACATTATATATAAAATGTTACATAACTAATATTTATTTTTGCTACATATTATTAAATGATTAACAGAATCCATATTTATCTTAAGTATGTATTTATAGTATGTGGGGAGGAATATTTCCCTTCTTCCCTTCTAAGTTCTGTGGCTGATCTAACAATTATATTGATATGAGACAGACTAACAGGAGTAAAACAAACTTCATATGTATGGAAGCCTCATAAAAGTCTAAGTCTGTTAATTGAGTCTTATATACAATCCTAAACTAGGGAAAAGTGTAAGGGTCTGGTAGTACAAAGAGAAGGAAGAGCTTTCACAGGCAGGAGAGAGATGTTTGGAAAATAAAAGTTTGCTCGATTATGTGGATAAGTTTCTTAGGTTAAAAGGTATGTCTGATAATAGCTCTTTTCCTGGTTCAGGCCCCCTTTCCAATGTAAATTTAAGCACTTGAGGGTGGAATTTAAGGGGGTTTCCTGAATCTGCTAAGTTTTGACTGCTTTTTTTTTTTTTTTTGATTTTTATTTATTTATGATACTCACACACACACACAGAGGCAGAGACACAGGCAGAGGGAGAAACAGGCTCCATGCACCGGAAGCCCGACGTGGGACTCAATTCCGGGTCTCCAGGATCGCTCCCTGGGCCAAAGGCAGGTGCTAAACCGCTGCGCCACCCAGGGTTCCCGTTTTGACAGCTTTTAACTCAAAATAATCCTTATGCTAGGGGCTCCTAGGTAGTTTAGTCGGTTAAGTGTCTGCCTTAGCCTCAGGTCATGATCTTAGGGTCCTGGAATCAAGCCCCACATTGGGGTCCCTGCTCAGTGGGAGTCTGCTTTTCCCTCTGTGATCTCTCTCTTAAATAAATAAAATCTTAAAAATAAAAGAGATCCGTATGCCAAAGAGGATATTTTGGGGTGGCAAAATCTGTTCTCCTTCAATAGATTTTTATGGACATTCATTTTTGGTTAAAATGTATTTTTAATATTTATTACCCTGAACAAAATAAACATTTGTTACTTTATTCTTCTGTTCCAATTTCTTAGATATGTATGTACATCTTTATAATGTATTGTGTTTTGAAATAACTTCCAATTAGTATCCTCACAGCTAAAAATATAAGTGAAGGATAATCACAGCAAATGACTCATTGCTATTCCCTCTTTACCAAAACCCCCTCCTGAAACACTACCACTACCCCTGGAAAACTAGTATTTTCATAGAAACAATTTAAATAGGAAGCATATATAAAAGTCTGTAAGTTGAGAGATTTATATAAAAAAAAAAAGAACAGAAAAAAAATTAGAGGAAAGGTAGTTTGAGAGCCTCAGAAATTTGTCATGGTTGGGTGATCCGTGATTCTCTGCTCTTGTAGTTAGCCCCTTGCCCAGAGTCCCCACCTTCCAAACCACTGCTGCCACAAGTCACTGAGGCTGTCTCATTATTCCACTAGGTAACTAACACTCTTTGACATCAGTAGTGTTTATTTAAATGTGAGGTTGTTGATAGATTGGGTAATAGTTGATAGACAAAGTAATAATGTCATCCAGAACAGCCTTTTTCCAGATAAATTAATATCATGAACTGAAAAGGTGACTTAAGTCTTTCAAGCTGATCATTGCTCCTTGGACTCTGCTCATCTTTATGCTGCTTCCACTAGGTTGACTGCTTTGAAGTTGCTCACTTAACAATCCCTGATTTCCACCATGTGATCTCATCCTTGTTTAACTTTCAACATCTTTTTTCTTTTTATTTTATTATTTTTTTAAAAAAGATTTTAGTTATTTATTAAGGGCACACAACCATGGGGAGAAGCAGAAGCAGACTCCTCACTGAGAAGGAATCCTGATGTGGGGCTCAATCCCATGATCATGTGGAGGCATGAAGGCAAATGCTTAACCAACTGAACTACACTACACCCCTTCTCATTTTTATTTTACACCACTTACCTATGTTATATGGTTTTTATTATTATAAAATTAACACAATATATTGACCATATTTTATGATGTTTTCATTGAACTAATGTTGAAGAAGATGCAAATAAGAATCAAACCCACTCTCTAAGGGACTTTATCAACTACTGGATAAGATACTCAAGATACCTAATTTGGGAAGACACTTTTAAGTGCTTTCATAGAGTCTGCAGAGAAGAAATTAACAGAAGACCAACTCCAGAAAGAAAGCTTACATACACTTTCCCTGTCAATCACTTCAGTTTAAAAAAACTTTTTTTTCCCATTAATCTTCTACCACTAAAATGAAACTTTATCTCCTATGAAAATAACTTCAGAGTGTAAACTATCAAGTTCTAATTTATTCTTCTGGATCTAATTGCAATTACAAATATCTGAGTTTTTTAAATCAAGACTTGTTGAAACGTTATCTCCATTTTAAAAAGTTAAAATTTTTTTTTCTAATTATGTAAGTCATAATAGTACACACTTTGTCCAGTGACTTTGGAGTTATAATTGATCAACAAAAAAAATTCAGTTAACAGGGAATTATTAGCAATGATGTATCATATCTGGATATTTTACTCAAAACAAAAATGTATATTTATTTGTCAGTAATTTGATTATGGGTTCATTGATTTGATTAATCAAAACCACACCAATAATATAATTTGAATAACAATTTAACAATGTGGTAGTTCTTGTAGGAATACAAACAATGCAGTAAAGCAAGTACTAGTAATTTCATCTGTTGGGGCAAAAAAAACTTGTCCTCTCTTCCCTTCTAGGT